CTAAGCTTTCACAACCTCTGCTCTCCTTTACTGAAGTATTTCCTCAATGAACTGAAATCGTCTAAGAGCAGGACCCCGTATCTTCAGCTTTTTATCCTTTTGCCAAGTTGCATTGAGCATGCATTCAATACCTGCTGAACAAAGTAATTCATTATTTGTTAGCCTTGGCATTTCAACTCTTCTCCCAAAAAAGATCATGCCCTGGGGTTAGAAGGGAGCAAAGACCTTCAAGTCCCACTCACTGCAGATCTCACATCCTCATCACAAAGCCACTGGCATTTCACCAGCCTCTGCTTCTGCACAGCCAGTGACAGGAAGTCCACTGCCTCCCAAGACATTCCATTTTCTGGCAGTTGAAATTCTTGAAAGTTCCTCCTCAAGCTGGGTCAAAATCTGTCACTGCTATGAAAACGGCAAAGACAAGGACAGAGCTCTTTTTACCTCACTAGAGAAATCCCTCTAAGCTAACATCCAATCCGCTCCCCAACAGTTCCAAAGCATAAATCTGGACCCTAATGTTGCCAGTAGAGCCAGGTGGGCTATGCTGCTCAGTGGTTAAAGGCATAGCTTGGGAGCCGGACACAGAATCTGGCTCTACCCTTACTAGCTGTGCAAGATTCTGCAAACTATAGTTTTCACATTTGTCAAATGGAGATAAACTGGTAACCCTACCAGACAGGGCTGTTATGAGGATTAACCTATAAACTGTGTTAAGGATCTTACTTCAAAGTGGCAGAAACACATCAGAACTAGCTTAGCAAAAAGGAGAATTCTGTAGCTTCTGTGTTAGCTGGACTACAAGGAAAATGAACCCCAGGGGTTTGAACACCTTGGTGTTCTTCACTCTTTTGGACAGGTTTTCTGGAACTATGGCCACTGGCATTACTAAAAATAATCTCTTCCCTTAGTACTAACCTAAAAATATCCAGAGGCAGACCTGTACTCACACCTGCAGTCTAGGGTGAGTTATTATCCCTGCTGGCCACACTAGAACCCAAGGCTGGGTGGAACTGGGGTAGAACAATTTGCCAAAAGAGGGAGGATACATTTTTCAGAAGATGGCAGAAAGACTCTTAGGCAGACAAAATAATTGATGTTCTCTGTGTGAGTGCTCATTAAACTGTATCTATAATATTATGATAATATTATCTAGTGGTTTCCAGTTTAGATTTCAAACTAAATATACTACCAAAAATAATTTAAGGGACCAACAAGGTTTTTAACCTTTTATTTTGCTAACTCAAAAGTGTTTTTTAAAGCCACAGCTACTATTATCATCATTTAACAAAAGAGCAAATTTACACCAAAGAAGTTAGAAGGACATAATCTCAGAATAAAGGACAATCCTTTAAATGAAATAAATTTAACTTTATGAAAGAAAGCTGCATGCTTCTTAATTTTCCCATTTTGACCAAGGGCTGGTAAAAACTCCATCTAGATCTGACGCCAGGCCCTGGCTGGAATTTGGAAACCACTGATCCAGATCACAATCTTCTACCTTGTCAACAGGCAGCTTTAGAGCTCACCTGTAGGCACACTACACTTCCAAGACTTTCCCCACCTAGCATAGACCCTGGCACCTAGGAAATGCTCACTGAACCAATCCATCAGTCCAGCAGCTATCAAAAAAAGACACGTGCTCTTAATGGATATATGCTGGGACATAAACATGTACGCACACACATTTTAAAATTCATACACGATCTTCAAAAAGTATTGGAGTGATTTTACACATATATAATCATTAAAAGAATGAGGTTCACATAATGATGGGAAGATGAAGAGAAAGCCTACGCAAAAGCTAACTACTTTGACAGAGCACTATATTTCAATTCCAGGCATGAATATAATTCTCTTGAGATGCTTGGCATAAAATAACACAGTCCTTCCTCTTACTCTTTTTTTTTTTTTTTTTTTTTTTTAGACAGAGTCTCACTGTGTTGCCTGGGCTAGAGTGCCGTGGCGTCAGCCTAGCTCACAGCAACCTCAAACTTCTGGGCTCAAGTGATCCTCCTGCCTCGGCCTCCCGAGTAGCTGGGACTACAGGCATGCGCCACCATGCCCGGCTAATTTTTTCTATATATTTTTAGTTGTCCAATTAATTTCTTTCTAATTTTAGTAGAGACGGGGTCTCGCTCTTGCTCAGGCTGGTTTCGAACTCCTGAGCTCAAACAATCCGCCCGCCTCGGCCTCCCAGAGAGCTAGGATTACAGGCGTGAGCCACTGCACCCGGCCCCTCTTACTCTTAAATCTGGGATTTGGTCTGTCTCTATGTGTGCATGGCTAAAGTAACAGTTTAAGCAGGTGGTCTGAGGGGTTCTTTCATTGAGTCATTCACTCAGTAAACATCCCAGTGACCATCGCATTAGAGGCACTATGCTAGACATCAGGACCACTAAGTTGAATTAGGTAAAATCTCCATCTCAAGAAGTTTCGTGAACCAGGAAAGTTGAAAATTACTAACATAAACCACAATCTAAATGAAATTACTAGTCATTTTCTTCTATTTTCTTTACTTAATAAAAGATGAGGATCATTTTAAATTTAGCCTTGTTAAGTTCCAACAGAGCACATGGTGACTACACACAAATAAACAATTGATTTTGTGTTCTAATTTTCATCTGCTTATTGAATTAAAAGTTCAAACTTCGGGCAACTGAAGTAGGATATCCTTGGGCTCAAGGCATTATGCCAAAACATAGCATGCAGTATTATATCTTTGAACAATTACTTCTGTGTGCCTGTATAAAGCCACAGGTGATTTGGCCATGTTTTCTATGGATTCCTAATGGTAACGAAGGCCAGGACTATATTATTCAATCCCTCTTAGTAAAAGCCCTATCCTAGCCTAGGTCTTTAGATCACCAATATTTTAGTTATTTTCCATTTGTCTTCATATTGTAGTAGAGTAGTAGGCTACAGTCCAAAGAAGAGCCTGGGGGTAGGTTCTAGGGGGTAGTCAGAGATGGACACAGAGACCACAATGGGGCAGCCACACACACAACTGGGGAGAGTGTGGGAAGGCCAGAGTGAAAGGGTAAGAACAGAAGGGGTCGAGAACGAGGGCAGAAGACATGGTAATTCAGGATTGGTTAAATGTTCTGTAAGAGAAGGCAGGTGCAACAGAACACTGGGTGACAGAGCCACCATGTATGCATGTACAGACTTTGGCTGTGACTTGGGAGTCAATGCAAGAAAAATTAAGAAGTCAGAGAATTCCTTAACAGGCAACCAAAAGATTCAGACTTAGTTGCTATTTCTGGGACAAGTAAACCACTCACAGTCAGGAAATGGGTTTAAAATCTCCCCAGAAAACTGACTATTCAGTAGAAAGGTAAGTTGGTAGTAATTTTATAAAAAACCCTACAATAAGAAAAAGCTTATCAATATTTAGTAACACTTTTTATAAGCATATCTTAAACCTAAGAGCTAATTTAAAAAAATCAAGTACTTGCATTTGTAACCAAGACCATGTTGTTTACTACTGTCAAATCACTGTATTGGGAAGAGGGAATCAAAGCCTAAGAACTACGCTTGTTCAAAGTAAAGGAAGCCAAAGTTCAACAGCTCACAGGCATTAATTCAAGATGAGTACTGACTGTTTCCCTTTGCTGCCTTTTAAACGCCTGGAGTGACTAAGACTAGAACAGAGCACACAGGGAGCAAGGGTTACTTAGTAATTCTATTGTTCACGCTAAGGAAAAGTACAAAGGATTAATTAGTACACACTGAGTGAAAAGCACTAACAAAATCAAAGGAAAATATGTATAACTAATTCCCATAATAAAGTTTAAAAAGAGTTTTTAAAGTTTTTTTAAAAAAGACTACCATATGGAACCAAAGGTTGATGTTTTTAATATATTTGTCCATACTTAATATTTAAAATTTTAAAGTTTTCAAATTTGTTCAGTTACAACGTACAAAGTTCTAATTATTTTATTAGATTTGGCTTTAAGTAAGGTCTCTGAGATTTTTAAACGTGATAGGAGCCATACAAACTGCTATTAGATTATATTTCAAGTTTAAAACAAGCTTTTCTAAGTATCCGGCTATATGGTCCCCAAAATTATATTAAACAATTGACTTTTCCTAATTATTATACAATTGTTTTACAATTCAAAATACCAATCGAATAATATTTTGTATGTTCTAAAACTAAACTCCTGTCTACCATCAATCCCTACCTCTGTCTCTAAGGATGCTAAGGTAAATTTTGTTCTAAAGCAATGATTTTCAATCAGGAGGAAATTTTGTCCCCCAGAGGTACAAAAAAACAAAAAGGAAAGATTCGGTAATGCCTGGAAGCATTTTGGTTGTGGCAAGTAGGCTGCATCTTGGTGGCAGGGGATAGGGGGACTACTGGCATCTCATGGCTAGAGGCCAGGCTAGAGGCTGCTACAGCCCCCCACAACAAAGAATTATCTTGCCCAAATTGTCAGTAGTGCCTCTTTCTGTTGGAAAACTCTATTCTAAACTGAAACAAGCAAATTTGCAAGTACAGCTGACAACTTCAAAAAATAACTGCCAAGTAAGTAATTCAAAGTTCACTAAGCTTTGTAATTGGTACAAAGACACAGACATGATAAAAATCGCTTTTCATACTATCAAAATGCATTAAAATGATTTGACTATTAATCAACGCATTACATCGCAGACAGACGAGAAGGGGCAAAGAGTACTTTTGCTACCCAAGCAAGTAAAGATATATTTCCATTCAAAAAGAACATTTCAGGACACACACACAAAAAATGAGGTAGTGATATTCTTGACTGTTTTCTATGACACTTTAAACTGTCAAGGATAAACACCAATTAATCATTATTTTTGGTTGCTGTTGTAGGTCTCTAATCAACTCTTTTTTCTCTTCTCAGTCATTAGATTTTTAACTGGAGAAAGTTTAAAAAGAGACAGAAAGTTAAACACATGATACTAGTCAGTAGAATAATCTTGGACCAAATTACATTACTACAGTATCTGTTATAACACTAACTAATGTTTACCTGGCAAAAGGACTGGCTCCAGTTTTTTTATCTTCGGTTCCGAATTGATCTTATCGTCAGTCTGAAATACATTAACAGAATAAATCAAAACCCAACCCCCCCCAATAAGATACCAAGACAAGTTTTCTGAGCGATGACACATGAGACAGAAGTATTCCCCATTTAAACTGTTTCACATTTTAAACGAGCTCTTTTTAAGATCTGCTCATTATCGACTTGGGAGTCTGACAAGAAAAATATTAAAACTGCCTGTACCGCTTCCAGGTGTTCACATTTATGACAGATCGGTAACCTCTACTAAATGCCCACAAGCGCTGCGATCATGCTGGCGGTCACAGTGGGGACCGTCACCGGGCTACGAACGAAATAAATGCAGTTCCAAATCTCCCTTGGGTCTCATCACACAGCAAAACTGCGGGACGACAGGACTTCGGGCAGAGAATGGCTGCGGCAGAGTTTTACAAGTTTCCACCGAGCCAGAGGTGGCTCCCGAGAAGACGCGTTCCCAGAGTCTGAGATCAAGCAACTGCACGACTGGGGGCACAGACGGGTGCAGCGTCCCAGGGTCCTCCTGTTACCGGGTGGCGGCCTGGCGGCTCCCCGGAAGCGCCAAGGAGAGGGTACTCCCGAGGAGGGGGTTGTTTACCTGAGGCGGCGGCAGGAGGTAGGACCTGAAGGTGGGTCTGGGCGGCTTAAGGGAGAACATGGTGCCACCGCTTTTTCGCCCCCGTCCCGTCGCGGTCCAGCGGCAGCGCTGACGCTTCCCGACTCCTCTGGACTTAGAGCTATCTGTGCGGCCGCCCAGACCCCGTCTGCGGCCGGCGGGGCCGGGCGGACTGACGGGCGGGGACACGGCGGAGCGCCCGCCCGAGCGGGGAGGAGCCGGGGCAGAGCCGGGCCGACGCGGGCGCCGGGGCCCATCCCCGGAAGGGGCCCGGTGCCCCGCCCCGAGAGACGGCGCGCGCAGGGCCAGCGGCTCGCCGCTCCGGGTCAGTAGTCCGCGCAGGCACCGGAACACAAAAGTTGCGCCGAGCGCCCGCTGCCGGGCTCTCAGCTGGGGCGCCGCGGGAAGCCGAGCCGGGCAGCCATCTTGAGAGAGCGGCTGTGGGACGGCGCTCCTACGGCGGCCCGCGGGGCCCACGGCGGCCCGCGGGGACCTACGGCGGCCGCAGGGGCCCAGAGGCAGACGGAGGCGGCTGAGACCGAGGCGCAGGATATCTCAGTACCGACTGCCCCGGGACCGCCCCTTGACTTAAACATACACAGGTTTAGTCGTCCCGCCTGGGCGAACATTATTTTGAAGTTCTCGGGGAAGAGCCAGGGGCGGTCGGGAAGGTGACTCTGGGGTCCCGGAGTCAGGCAGTCACACTGTCCGCGCCCAGTGTGTGAGGAACCGGCACTGGAGAAGTGGGCTGGTGCAACCAACAGTGACCAGATTCAAAAGTTCAGCGCGGTCCGTATCGCTTGTCATAAACCCCGCTCCAAAGTTCCCACACTTGGGGAGGATTTTCTTCCATCACCCGGTCAGTTGTCTTTGCGCCAATGTTTGAGACAGGAATGTCCTCCTACCGATTGAGCACCGCTGGTTTCCAAAGGATGTTGAGACACGTGTGTGTTGTGGGGACGGGACAGATGACATTGACAGGCAACGCAGACTCCTCAATTTAGTTCATTCATTTCTGCTCTCCTTATTAAACTTTAATGTGGAAAAAGATTTTAAGCAAGTTGCCTTGCTTTCTTGCTCATCCTCACAGGTAAAGATGCTAATGAACAGATAAATGATCAAAAGCCCATCAGGAGTAAGACCCTAGCGGTGTAGGGAGTTTCGATAGGCTACGGAACCAAAAATCTGCCCATTAATTGCAAAGAACAGACGAATTCCAGCATATCAAGCTCAGGGCGTTTCTGAACTCTCACCTATTTCTGAAACTGGAGCAGCCTTTGGTGGAAGGGAGCTAGTGGTGTTACATTTCGGTGAATCTACCAGTTCAGACTAGGTCCTTCTTGCACTTGGAGAATAAAACCCCAATCCAGCATTTATGATTAATGTCACTGGGAAGCTCCGATTTGGCCATACCAATCACAATCATACAACCGTTGTTCATGGGAACATTTAACAATTTAAAAAGATTCAAAAAGTTGCTCTTTTTCTGAAAATAATTTATCCTGGATTCAGAACCCTACTGATCTTTCCGGTTAACCTATTTGAGTAACACACGATTCCATTTTGCCCAGGACCATAATTGCACTTTAAAATGTTAATTCGATGGGATTATAGGTGTTAAAAATAGTTGTGCATACATTTTTTATTTTTATATATATTCTGTTAGTCTCCATTCAATGGATTTTTTTCTACAAATACTCTTAAAGTAATAGTTGGCATTTTCTTTATATTTGAATGACTTACTCTGTGATTTGGGTTTTCCTGTAAAGGTTTTCTTAGGATCTACAACTCTTAACATGTGACCATACAACTGAAAAGTGGAAAAACTCTGATTCCCAGATTTGTTATTGGCTTAACACTAAATTTTATGACGTTTTTCAGATATCTAGCTGTATTAGTCTGCTCAGGCTGCCATAACAAAATACCACAGACTGGTGGCTTGCTTAACCAAAAGAAATTTATTTTTCACCGTTCTGGAGGCTGGGAAGTCCAGGATAAAGGGGCTGGCAAGATAGGGATCTGGTGAGAGCTGTCTGCCTGCCTTGCAGATGGCTGCCTTCTCACTGTCCTCACATGGTAGTGGAGGGTATATAATGAGTTCTCTGGTGTCTCTTGTAAGGACACTAATCCGGTTGGATTAGGGCCACCCTTATGGCCTTATTTAATCTTAATTACCTCCTAACATCCCTGTCTCCAAGTATCACACCAGGGGGTTAGGGTTTCAATATAAGCATTTTGGGGGGACATAATTGAGCCCATAACACTAGTCTTATATCCTCTTCTCAGATCCTGATCTCCTTGACTACTCTGTATGTTTGGTGTAGTTGATCACTCCCTTCTTTTGGCTCTAACATCACTATTTTGTCCTGCTTCACTTATTTTTCTGACTACACCTTTGTTTCCATTATTGGTTCTTGTAGCATTGGGAATGGTGGAATTCCCTACAGGTCACTTCCTTTTCCCTAAAAGAGCTAACATTTCTTGAATACTTATTAGGTGCTAGGTACTTTATATACTCATTCAGGCACTCATTCAGTGAGCTAATGAATTTGTAGTAAGTATTAACTTTGTGCCAAGCACTATTCAAGACACTAAGAAGACAAAGTTTCCACTTCCCTGGCATTTTCATTCTTGGTAGAAAGATATAAAAAATCAATATATAACATATCAGGTGGTAACAAGTGCTGTGAAGAAAAATAAAACATGGGAAGAGAATGAGGGTTCTGTTTTTCAATGGGGAGTTGGATGTAGTCAGGGAAGACTTTTCTGATTAGATGACATTTGAGCAGAGACAAAAGGGAGTGAGGAAGCAAGCCAGGTGGAAATCAGTAGGAAGAGCATTTCTGGCAGAGGGAGTAGCAGTGCAAAGGTCCTGAGATGAGAGCCCGTGTGATGCATTTGAGGCCTGAAGTAGCCTAATCCAGTGGGAGAGGAGGTCAAAGGGGAACGATAGGTCAGATCACATAGGCCCCAAAAGTTGAGACACTTTTGCAATGTTTTGAGCTGAGTGTGATATGATCTGACTTACATTTTAAAATAATCACTCCAACTATAGTGGTGTGGCGTGGTGGAAGTTGGGAGACTAGTTGGGGGGCTATTTTAGTAGTCCAGATAAAAGAAGATGATGGCGGTAGCAGTGGAAGTGGTTATGTATAATGGTTAGAAGTGGTTATATATAATGTCTACAAAGCTATGCCATCGCCTGAGTATATGGTCTTTTAAGATGACTATTAAGTAATTTTAAAAATCCGTTTCTTGAAGGAGAAACAGTCTGCTCAGGCTGCCATAGCAAAATACCACCAACTGGTGGATTAAAGAATAGAAGTTTATTTCTTACTGTTCTGGAGACAGGGAAATATAAGGTCAAGGTGCTGGCAAGGCAAGATAGAGTTCTGTTGAGGGCTCTCTGCCTGGCTTGCAGATAGCTGCCCCCATCGTTTGGAGAATGATAGAGAACTAATTCATTATTTTGAAAACTGGCAAATAAATGGGAAAAATCAATCAATCATTATTCCTGCTGTGTAGCATGAACCGTACCACTGTGGACTAACTAGTAGATGAAAGGAATCATCTCTTTATGAAGTATTCCAACTAATAAATGAAATAATAGAATTTGAGTATTACAATTTTCAGCCTCCTATGAATGAAGGGATCTAGGCATTGAGCATCAACAGCTGCTGACATCAAGAAAAGAGAGACAAGTAGACAGATGTACCTCACGGTGAAAGGACCAACACCACCTACATAACTTTGCCAAAGAATTGAACCTAAGCCTGAGAAAGCCTGACTCTTCCTGCCAACCTGCAGAAATGGTAGAATATGTCAAACTGCCTATGAGTATTCAGTAAGTAAAATTTAGACTGTGGGAAACTTTGCAAGACAAATGACCCATGTTCTTGAACAGAGAAATTGTAAGGAAGAGAAAGAGCCAGGGGAGGGGGAGCGGATAATTAATAGATTAAAACAGGTTTAAAGACCTTCAAATGAAAAAAAAAGGGCAGAGGTCAGGCTAAAGTATAGTGCTAAGGAACACTCAGATGATAAAACTATGATGAAATGCAAGCGTAGTGATTTAAAATGCTTCTGAAAATTTTTAAAACATTCCCCTATATATGATCCCTACTCTTGAATCTGAGCTGGCCATAGTGACTCACTTGTAACCAATAGAATGCAATAGGAGTGAGTGACTCTGCAAGATTTCTGAGGCTAGATCATTTAAAAAAATGGTGTTTCTTTCTTGCTCACTGGGACACTTACTTTTGGAGCCCTGAACCACTGTGTGAGAAATCCAGTTACTGTGAGGCTGCCATGCTGTGAGGAAGCCCAGACCAGGTGGAGAGGCCATGAGTGTACGTCCTATACTGAGACTGAGGTCCCAGCTGAGAGCCAGCATCAGTTTTCAGACATGTAAGTAAAGATGTCTCTAGATGGTTCTAGCCTCCAGCTGTCGAGTCACCTTCAGACACTGAGTCTTTCCAGCTGGGGCCTCAGACACAATGGAGCAGAGACAGTGGTGTGCTGTAGCCAGCCTGTACTGGCTTGCAAGAGCCAATTGTTAACATGTCTTCCCGCTTCCACATGCAGTGAAGCCACGCTGGTAGCTCGAAATTGGCTGTGATAGGAGTTTTTATACCATGGAAATCAGCAAACACTACAAATCAGGGACGTTACTGCTGTGCCTGTCTGAACTCCTGACCCACAGAATCCATGAGAATAATCAAATGAGTGTTTTAAGCCATTTGTAATACAGTGATAGTAGCTGGAATAGCAAGGACGTGATTACTATAAAAAGATAGTTACTTTTCAGGGGACAGAGAGACTTCTGGGGTAACTGGCAAATTCTATTAATCGGAGTGGTGGTTATAAGGATATTCATCTTACAATAATTATTTAAGTCATATAATTATTTTGTGTGGTTTTCTGTATCTTTTATGACTGGAAAATTTCTTTAAAAAGTCTTTTTATGTAGGAGACAGGATGATTTCATTTATCTTTATTTCATATATGTATATAGCAGAAATGCATTTTTGATGTGGAATAATTATATTACAACATTAACGGTCTAATTTTTAGATTTTGAAACCTGAATTATGATGCAGGAACATCATGGTGATGCAGGATATTAATATATATTCAGAATTTAA